CATTTTAACTGAAGCTTTGCTTCTGAGACAGATGCAGCTAACCATTAACTAGGGCAGTGTGGTAAATTACAGATTAAGGTGCAATTATGCCTCATATCTCCCCCTTTGAGGGTAAGAGCTTGTTGATGTTAGGGCTCAGATAAGGGGAAGCACCATGTGACAGGTGGTATCTATTGTGGAAGCATGAAACTTCTGGAGCTTTAGATCCTGTGTTCCCAGGAGGCAAGACCTAAATGTCTGTCTGGCTTGCACGCCTCCTGCATAGTCATGCATCCATGAGCATTTAATATGTACAATGTGACGAACACAGATGGAAAACCATACCTGAAGCAAACCTCTAGTAACGACTCATGGTTGAGTGGGCTGGTGGTGAAAGGGCTGGATCCTGCTCCATAAACCCCATCAACCGGTACTTTGAACATGTCCCTACAAACTTCCCACCTCCATGAGATGAGGTTTTTAGTATTTTTAAATAGGCTCACTGCTGTTGCTGCTAAAGATCTCAAGATAAAGCTGGGAATCCCACCACTCCGACATTTTAAGGGATATATTCTTAGTGTTTTTTTTTTTTTTCCAGAATCTTAAAACTTCTGTCCCCTGCCCCCTATCCAAAAAGTGCCCCGAGAGGAAATATGAAGGAATACTTGTCCAAGGTGTCCTTCGGTGGAAGAGCATATATCAAAGGCTGTGTATAAATAGAATACATCAGAATGGAAGTCCCCAACTGCTGGCCTGTTGAGCCTTTGCATCAGAATCACCTAAAATGTGTGTTAAAAATACAAATTTCAAGACAACACCCCAGACCTAAGGAATCCGATATCCAGGAGGATGGTGCCCAGTGATCTGAATTTTTAACACTTGCCCTAGGTGATTCTGACGCATCTTCAGGTTTGGGACTATCTAGCTGGGAACACCCAACTTCCCACTGGGGTGTGGCTAGGTAAAAGTTCTCTCTTAGCATTATTTACAAATTCGTTTTATGTTCCTCCACATCCCTTCCTGTCAAAGGAATGGAATGTAGCATGGGATTATCTATTATTATTTCACAATTAAGGATAATGACGTGAAACATCCTATGTGAGTCAGTGATGTGGCCAAGAATCCCAGCCTCAGTAGTTAGCTGTTTTCTACCCACTTGGGTGTTTCTTTTCAAACCCATTGTTTTGACACTGGCCTTTTAGTAGGCAGGCTTCCCTCTGGGTCAAAGATGTGGACTCACAAAATACTGAAAATTATGGTGCCTGGCTTCTCACCACCTCACCTCTGGTCAAAACCAAACGGATTGCAGCCAAACCCCTGAGATTCCAGTCTAGATGAAAACAAGACTGGCAGGTCTTAACCAGCCCCAGTCTGGAGAATTTCCCTAAAGATTCATTTTCCATGTGGCACATGTGGGATTTGTGTTTAGTTCCCCAGAGTTTTGGGAAGTCCTGGGTTAAAGCAATTCTAAGCCCCTCCTGGTCCCATAGGGGTATTGTCTGAAGGGGGCTGGAGATCTGGCCTCACTCTGAATCTTCTCTGGTCTGATAAAGCACTTTGAACTCTTGGAAGTTAAAGCGCCACCGTACGTATCACCTCAGGTGGTGTTACCATTATTTATTGAGTGCTGCCCCCTAGAGGATTAAAAAATGGTCTGGCCGCTTGGAGTCCCTAGGGCTCTGAACAGGCGATTCATCTACCCAACTGCAGGAAATGAGGCTTTCGCTCAAGTGGACTGCTAAGAAGTCTAGCAGTGGCAGTACAGAGTACTCCCGGGAAGTAAGTTAGCTCCCGTTTTAGGACACCTCTGAAAAATAAAAATCTGTAATGCTGGGAACCAGATCCACGCACTGAAGCTGACTCTGACTTCTCCCTGCTGGAACAAGGAACCTGGAAGTAGTCTGATGGGGACCCTCAACCTGGAGACTCCAAGACTAGAAGTCCAGAGTTGTCATTCTTATAGTTCCCCAGTGAGCTTCAGTTTACTATTTCCCTCTACCCCGTCTTCATTGTACCCTTCGCCTAAGCTCTGGCTATGGTGTTCTCAGAAACAGGATTCTCCCACGTAGGACACTTGCTAGAATTGTTTGGCATGCCTGGTGAGTGGTGGGGGGCAGTGATACTAAAGGACCCTTTCCATTCAGGGACTGTCACTGCAGATAGTACTATTTGTATTTAGATTAGCATTTTGGCAATGACATAAGCTGGGATCTCTGCTTGAAGGTTCAAATCCTGACTGCCTCTTTACTTGATTAAGTATTTGGGACTGGGAGTCATTCTCTACAATTGAACTGCAAACAGGAAAAATGTAAACCTGGAGTTTTTAATAATGTGGAGTGCTCTCAATCCTAGAAAGGAAGGAAGGAAGAAGAAAGGGAGGAAAGAAGGAAGGAAAGGAGAGAGAGCTGGAGGGAGGGAGGGAGGGAAAGAGAGAAGGAAAGGAATGAAAGGTAGCCTTCAGGCCAGCCAGGGGATGTGCTCCCTGGAAGAACTTGGGAGGCCTCTTCTATGTGTCCTTTCCATCCTGGCGTCTAAGATTAATAGTGCGATACTCAGCCCGTGGATTTACTCTGTAATATCCCTCTATGGCTTGGCTCAACTATTTGCAAGTCACTTCTGATTCAATCTTGTTTTGGTTATCTCCGTGTAAATAACTATTAAATGGGAGATACAGATTTTTCAAACACTTAAAGTGATAAACAAAGCTAATGGCAAGTATAGATAAGGAGGGAAACCACCCAGAAGAATCCACAAGTACAATTAAAGAAAAAAATGTGATAGTCAGATGTGTGTGCGTTTTGTCACCAAAAGTTTATTTTTCGTCATCTGCAGAGTGGCAGAAAAGGTATATGCGGGGGTTATGAAGGCTGCTCCTGTCGGTCTTTTTGATAATGTAGCAATAGGTGCCTAGTGAAGCAAGAGTTTGGAATTCATAAAGCCGTCCTCAGAGACAAAGATACAGGTGTTTCCCCAACTGTTGCTTGCGGTTCCCTGTAAACAGCTTTCACGCCTCCATTTAAAAATAGTTGGCATAACGCTGTTTCCTTTCTCTAAGCGTTGTGACCACATTTCCATGGGGGATATGTGAATAGAAGTAGTTACAGTAGCATTTCGAGAAGCTTCCCTGTACCTGTACTTTTTGTGGGGATCTTGGGGGAATCCCATTTAATTACCTGGAGAAAGTCTTCCTCTTCTTAGGACAGTTACGAGTTAAGGGTGCAGGGATAGCTAAGTCCTCAGCCAGAGAGGAGAGGAGCACGTCTGGGACACATAAAGGATCTGAGCAGTAAACGCAGGGAGTGTTTGCGGTTTCACTCAGCCCGGCTGACGGTGTGTGTCGCCGCCACGCACTGCTGCCTGCGCGAACGCATGGCTGAGATGCGACTGGCTCCCCACCCCAAACACCGTGCGCCACCCAACTCCTCCTGTCACGCCATTGCGCGTGGCATTGTGTCGGGTACTGCGTGTGCGGCATACGAGTCACGGAATTTAGGGGGAACGAGGATATCCCCCGCTTCCCGCAGAGTCGCCCTCG